AAACTGATAATAATGTTTAACTTCCCTTCAGGGATATTAAAAGTATTAATGTATTTATGGATTTGATCTTCCTTTCCTTGGGCACTCAAAAGCCCATTGATATCAGTGGTAGGTTGAGGTGAATAAGGTCTGGCCCATTGTTTGAAAAGATCTTTGAAAATAGTGTAAGCTAAGTATTATTAAATGTTTTCCTATTAGCTTTCATATTCACAAAAAAATGAAAGAAAATCAGGCTTAAAGAGTCACTACAGCACTTCTATCCAGCCAATTTTGAAAAAAAAATGCTGCAACTTTAATAATTAAAAATAATATTTTCTAAAAGCTTATGGTACTAATTAACCATTCCAGTTTTAAGAAAGCCTTCAAGATTTTGTTTGGGGGAGGCTGCTTTTTACAAATGTGTTTTGACCATAGGTTGTGCTTGCAATTTATGGGCTATATTTTGTATTCTGTGCACATACTTGTGCACACACATACACACTCCTGATATTAATGGGAGTTTCTGAGGTGCAAGGAATGAAGGTACTTGCTGTCAAATTAAATAAGTAAATCTATATTATTTCAATTATTCTCCTAACAAGTATATGTGGAAAATAGGTGACTAAATCCCATAGATTTGTCCTATTGGATAGGCCTTCAAAGTTTGATCTAACATTTTTAAAAAATATATTAGCATCACCTACTGTGTCACTTGGGTGATTAAGTAGGTTTTATTTGTATTCCAATAAGCTGTGCCTGTATTAAGCATGTAATTTATATTACTGGAAAAAAATTATCTGAGATGGTATAGAAAATAAACTTAGAAGCTATACATAACGAGACTGGAAGGTTCAAGACTGAAGCACTCTATTAAAAATATGACTTCGGATTGCAGTTTGCAATATTAGTCCTCATCAGTCACTCTCCTGCATGACTCACCAAATAATCGTTACCTATAAGGAGAGTATTGAGAAAGCCGAGTGAACCAGTAAATATTCTCGTTAGTTACACAATTGCTACTAAATACTCTTGAGAACATAGTGAAGCTTTTTATTGTTTGTATTTCATTTTCAATTACACATAGGAGGAACACTCAATGCACTTGTATCACAGCAGGTGACCACAGTCTGAAGCTCTTAATTTTGACGGCTGGACTTAAGTAGAGTTGTCTTAAAGTTTTAGCTGAATAAAACAAACAAAAAATCAAATAAGATAATGAAATGAGAGTTATTTCACTGCTGTCTGACATCAGTTTATCCAGGATTATGGGTATTTATTTTGCAGGTGCTGTGGTTTTTTTGACAAATCAAACTGCTTCATCTCCCTACAGAGCTGAATACAAGATATTAAGTAATTTAGATGCTAAATTCTCCAGTGTGTGATGCAGTAAGGGTGTGCAACTGGATACAAAAACAAAAAAATGTTAGTTACAACATCAAACAGTACTTAATCCCAGCCGGTTAAAAGTAAAGAACATAGAACTTTTTGTTTTTCCTTCTTTATGAGCAGAAGTGTTAAAACTTATGAAGGAAACTATAACACAAGAGAGAGCATTTGGTAAGTGATAAATCCCCCTGAGGGCACAGCAATATGTGCAAAGCATCTGAATATGTCTAGGATTCTTATTAGTACAGTATTTGTATTTGCTATTGTTTTAAAATATTGCACACTTCTACTTCTCAAACATGTTCCACCCAAGGAGTCATTTACACAGTTTACTGTTATGTTCCTATTTTCAAATGCCACAGTTTTCCTCCAATCCTTTAGCAAAGTTAACAACTCCTTCCACTAAAAAGAAAGAAATTATAGGTGCACATGAGTACAACTATGCTAATACAGACGACACAAAACTATTAGGGACACCCCTACAATTTGAAAAAGAAAACTTAAGACAAGCCTGCAAAATAGACATTTTATTTTCAGATTTTGTTTCCAACCCTCATGAGTTCTAAATCTTGATTTTTGAAGTTGTCCTCTTTTTGGAACAGAATCTTTACAAAATCATTAAATTGAGATGCAGGTCAGAACAGTTTTGTGGCAGTATGTTTTGATGTTTTTGCAGCATCATGAATCTGACAAGTGGGGGTGGGGAGTAAAGTAATGTGTCTTTACAATAGCAACTTGATTCTGCAGACAAAAAAAATGGGGAAAATCATAGAATTAAAGTGTCACAACAATGACAGTAAGCACTCTGCATAAAATGGCACTGAAGTGTGTATATAAAACCTCATATCAAGCTAAATGTGATGTTAGGTATAGTTGTTCAACATGTGAACTAGACTTCTTTGGAACACTAACTTTAGTGGGGTTGTTTATATAATGTTACTGTTTATATTAAAATCTTATTTCAAATTATCCCAATCCTGCAACACTCACTCAGGCAAAAGCTGTCTTTGAAACCTAACGGAATTGGAGGTGTTCAAAGTCAGCATGAAACCCAGACTGTGTTGAAGTTAAGGTCACTCCTAAAACAGGGCCAGATGCAAAACCAGTTAAACTAGATAGAAAAATCCATAGTGGATTTTGGAGGCTTTGGATCAGGCACCAATTGCACAGTGAAATCCTCTAAGCTTTCTGTCTAGAGAAGTAATGACTTTTCTGTCTGTCCCCTGAGAGGAGCAAATAAGAGGGCTGTGCTGGCACTTAGTGTAATATGGAATAGAGATTTGAAAGCAACATTTATTCATCCCAATGAACACTATAGAACTCCTGGTTATCTGAATATTGCTCCGAAAGCTCCAAAACTCTTTGAGCAAAATCTGGACACACTGAAACTAGCTACCTTTACCTTAGAACAGATAGAAATGGAAGGCAGCCCATGGATTTCAGTTAATTCTCCCAAGGAGAAAAATAATCAAGAGACCAGAGCTAGTTGAGGATTTTTACTATATTGCATTGCAGATATTCCTGGAAAGGGAGCAGGTCTCCGAAAGTGCAAATGGTATAGGAGAAGGGAATTTGAAGTGGAAGGAATCTTAATGCAAAGGAGTACAAGGAGAGGAAACGTCACATTTTAAAATTCCTGCACTGGTAAAAAAAAAAAAAAAAACACCCACCACGGCTTGCTTAATATGACCCAGTGTCATTTTAATCAGATTAGGTTCTATTTGATCAGTCTTCTGTTCTGAATTAACTTCAGCTTTTTTAACCACTTGCCAGATTGGCAGGATTGGATTAGAGATCAAAGGCATCTTTAAAAGATAGGGTTGTTCAACGTTAATTGTGCTAAATGACTGTATTAATATGTGGAATAACAGCAGATTGGTGTGAGTCACTCCTTATGGGCCTTCGTTGGCTGCGCGTTTAAATGTGTAAAATGTCAGAAACGTGTAGCGGTAATAAAATGAAAGCAGCTTGCAGGCTTTGGCACGAGCGCACGTACAATTTAGTTTGATTTGTTAGACGTGATTTGACAATAGCTAAACAGAAATAAGTCACACAGCGGCGGGAAAACAAACACCACGGGGTTGCTCTTCCCATAGTCAATATCCCCTCCCTTCCCATCCCCAGTTTCAAGTATAAACGAGTCAGAGGCGGTTAGACTCAACCCATCATTGCCATTCTTCCAGGTGTCTGCTCTGTCCGAGTACAAGCTAGGTTTTGGAGCCTTACCACGTCCACATGGCTCATTCCGGAAGGTTTTTAATTAAAAAAATAAAGAGCAAGATAGTTGTAGCAAGACATTGCCAAGGGGCTTGCTTTCAGCAGGTAAATAAAGTTCTCCTAGGACATACTGGGCGATAAACTTCTAGTTCAAGTACTGCCAAGCTGTAGATCTGTCCAAAGGACGTGTCCAAAAGCTTTCCATTTCCTACCATAGTGCTCTATGGGCTCTAGAGGGCATAATCCAGGGAGACACCATAGTGCTTTTTAGGGCATCGCTACTTAGCGGGATCGGAAGCAGAAGTGTCATTACCAGGGCTAGAGGAGAAACTTTTACAGATTCGCCCTTCTGAAGGGAAGCTAAGCCCTGCTTGCGCGTTCTCCTCATTGAGCTTCACTCTCGCATTAGAGCAGCCTTTTAGCGACATGATAACATGGTAAGAAGAGTCAACCTACCTGTCGAATCAGACACAAAACTGTACTCAAGCAGCCCTGGAGACCACAGTGCGTTCAACATTCAGCTCGCGCATTTAAAACGCATCAATTTATGAAAAGCTTGTTTGAAGTCTTCATTGGACATTGTATAGATTATGGGGTTGATTAAAGAGTTGAGATACCCTAGCCAGGTGAAAAAGTCAAAGATGGCCATGTGGAACCAGCAAGCGTCCTTGCAAATAGGCAACACCAAAGTGATGATGAAGAAGGGCAACCAACAGACGATGAAGGCTCCTAAAATAATCCCTAGAGTCTTGGTAGCTTTCCGTTCTCTGGCGGCCGTGAGTTTCTTTTTCTCCAGAAGGGCATCCGAGACCTTCACCTTGACCTGATTCATGTATACAGGAGACCCCGTTTCACTGGAAGCCTCTGGGGCCTTGGAATTGATGGAGGTAACAGATGAAGATGATCCGGGGGAATCGGTGATTAAATGAGCCCTTGTTAATCTTTTGCCTCTTTTCGTTGGCGTCTGTTTCAAAATTCGAGATCTGGCTTCCACATAGATCCTTCCATAGAGGGCAATCAGCAGCAAGGTGGGGAAGTAGAAGGCTCCCACTGTGGAGTACACGGTGTACAGTATGTGATCTGTGTTCACCACACAGTCAGTGTCGTCTTCCGCTTTCGCTTGACGCCAAAACAAAGGCGGCATGGAGATGGAGATGGAGAAGACCCAGACCAAAGCGATCATGCCAGCTGCCCTCTTGGGAGTCCTTTTGGTAGAATATTCAACCGCATCGGTGATCGCCCAGTATCTGTCCAGCGCGATGACACACAAGTGAAGGATGGAGGCTGTGCAACAAGTAATATCCGAAGACAGCCAGATATCGCAGACGATCTGGCCTAAAGTCCATTTCCCGGTCACAGTATACATGGTGCTAACGGGCATGACGAGGATGGACACGAGAAGGTCCGTGACAGCCAGGGAGGCTATGAGATAGTTGGCCGGAGTGTGCAATTTTCTCGTCTGATAGACGGTGGCGATGACAAATGCATTGGACAGCATGGTGGCGAGGGTGATCAGAGCCAAGATAATGGTGAGGACGATCTTCCAGGAGAGCGGGGTGGCATCTTGGTAGACCCCTGTCTCTGCGCTGCAGTTGCGGTACGAGTCATTGGTGTGCAGCACCTTCAGGTTGTCGGGGGCCGGCTGGCAGGGAGTCGCTTGCTCCATCACTTTCTCCGCCAAGGCTGGAGCCGGCAAGGGGACGGGCGGCGTTGAGTTACCAACCCAAGGCGGCAGATGGCAGGGCTGCTCCCCCCTCCAGGAAAGCGAGCGCCTGACGAGCGGGCTGCATCTCTGCAGACTCCGCTGTCCCCGGCCCG